GCTTAGCCAGGACTCAACCGAGAAGGCCTCAGCTGCCCTCGCCGATTCGACCGATGATGAGAAGGACAAGGGCGACACGAATGCCGATACTGCCGACAACGCGGTCGACAACATCGAGGAGAAGCCTACCGTTGAGACCCCTCCCGCAGACAACACTGTCGAAAAGTCCGAGGGTGAGCCGACCAAGCAAGCTGACAGCGGCGACTCGATCACGGAAGGCAACCCGATGAAGCAGGCCGTTGAACCTGCTACCCCTTCGCAAAAAGCCAAATCGACTGCCTCCGTACACTCGACACCGGTGAGCTTGACCCCGGATCGCCTGCCACCTGCACTTTCCAACGTGGCTCTGCACTACCGGACGAATGAGTGGGCGAAACACCTGAGCCATGCCGAAGCACCTGCCCCCGAGACGTTGCCGGTGGTTGAGTACACTCAGGATGTGCCGCAACGCGAAGAGACACCGGCGCCTCTGAACGTGGAGGAGCTGAAGCAAACAGCTTTGACTGCCACGCCCGCTCCAGTTCCCACCCCTTCACCGGCACCTCTTCCTGGCCAGGCACACCCGAGGCCCACGTCTACCTTCACTGCACCTCGTACTCACTCGAGAAACAACTCCTGGGGATCGGGAATTGACAACCCAAACACGCCTCCTCCGCCCATGATTCGCAAACACCACCGCAGGGTTTCGAGCAAGAACCAGGTGCCAACAGTGCAGACTATCGCAGAGGAAAGCCACCTTCCATCCAGGTCTCCCAGTGTCAGCGGCTCCGAGCGCATGCCAATGGCAGCCTCTCCGATCTCGCCCAGCGGCTTCGTGCCGCCCCCGCCCCCGCCAGGCATCGTGTCCTATTCGAGCCCGCAGAGCCTTCTCGCTCAGCGAAGCATGGCCATCCGAAACAAGACTTATGGGATCTTGACCGGTGCCAACTCAACGCCGGACTTTTCCGCTGCGGCGCAACGCCCGCCTAGTGAGGTCTACTCTGCTTACGACTACCCCGGGTATCCGCAGCAGATGGCAGAATCGTCTCTTGACGATCTGCCTTTGAGCCAGCGCAAGGAAATGATCCGCCGCCAGAGCAGCATGGGAACCATTCGAACTTCCATGTCAGACAACAGGAGATCATTGAGCAACCCGTACCTGCCGACGACGTCCACTGAAAAGCTTCAATTTGACTCGCACCAGCCCAGCAGGGTGTCCAACGCGCCGTCCAGGGACGCTCGCGAGGCCAGGCTGGCGTCTTTCCGCGACTCGGTGCAGGCCGACCTACGCAACGCATCGGCGGTTGCAAAAGTAGGCGCACACGGGCGCGATACGTCTATGATGTTCCGCGCCTCAAGCTCTGCGAACCTGGCCGCTCAAGCTGCTGCTCGGGAGGCAGACATGCAGAGAAACATTGACCTGCAGCGCAGCTTCCTGATGAGCCAAAAGGAGGCAGAGGCCAAGCGTCGCGAGAAGGAGAGGATCGAGAAGGAGCGGTCTGAGCAGGCCTTCACGAGAAGCATGCAAACTGGCGAGATGTTTGACTTGCACAGGGAGGCGATGAAGAGAATGCAGCAAGGTTCCAGGAACGCTTGAGACGACTTGGTTAACGCAGCAACTGAGTCGTGATTTACTTTTATTTCTTTTCTTTTTTCTCTTCAGCATTGGTAGATACCCAGGATCAAAGGCAAATCTGGGGCGCGTTGGAAACAGGACGTCGAAATTCTGATGCAGCGACGGGCTATATGATACAGTGAGCGGTTGGGACGAACGACGAGACAATGACGAGCGAAATAGGTTGGAGATTCACGGAAAATGATTGTGGTAATAATGCCTTGAGAGGATGAGACCCTGAAAAGGGTGTCAACATGCCCGCATTAAGTCATAAAGATAATGATAAATTTAGCTGAAATATTAGATATTAGAAGCTCACGTAAAGAGAATGGTGTTGCTTTACCATGAAACCCAAGAGTTGCTTTCCATATTCGGTCTGCTTTGGTGATATTGGTCCGGTCAACTCTTTTGGACTTACAGTCCTGGCCCTGTACGACCGTTTCAGTTCGGCAGAGCGGACAAACGATTCAGCAACCATGAGCGTTGCCGAAGAACCGTTACGTCGAGGCAGTTCGGTCCCCACGTGTCACGCCGACCGCGGGGCCCCATACTCGGCCAAGCCGGCACGGCACCGAGGCGGACGATCCCGAAAGCATGTGGAATCCAACACACATTTTGACACGGCGGCATGAGCAAATCATTCGGATGAGGCTCCATCCCATGTTGGCTGACGCTCTTCTCAAACAACCAACCACCTTCTTTTCGCTGAAAAAAGTTCCCCCACCACACCGCCCGTCGACCTTCCATCTTCGCTTCGGACGACCCCGATGTCGGGATTCTGGCCGGCCGGCAATAACCCGGGCCGCAGAGCCTGGGCGTTGGCGTCATCCATTCTCACAGCGGACGAAGACATGTCCGGCGGGTCACGGGGGTGGTAGATTTTGTCGTTTGCGGTGAATGTGCCAATTGCACCATCTGCTTTTGATGATTGTCTTTGTCGTTGCTGCTGCTGCTGCTGCTGCTGCTGCTGCGTTGAAACGTCGTTGAAAAAGTGCAACCCTCCCGCCGACCGCGATCGCTTTCAAATCGGGGGGCTGTCTCGCGTCGACTCCACATCGCCGTGTTTTTCCAACGCCCCGTCCCCGGCGTATCATGTCTTTTTCGGCCGCTCATAATTATCTCCGGATAGTATTCTAGTACCACCATGGCCGGCTCCGCCCAAGACAAGAAGGCGTCTGAGCCCCCGTCGACCGTCGGGGGCCGCGTCTGGGCCAAGGCCGTCAAGATCTTCAAGCTCATCCTCGCGCAGTGGCTAGTGATTGGGTTTGGGCTCAGCTGCGTGTTTGCATACTTCTTCCCCAGTAAGTTGGCTGGCCCCGTTGCTTTCAAAGTAAGAGTAAAGCAAAGCTGACGGGCGCTCCAAAAAGACGTCGCGGCCCGCGGTGGACCCATCAGATCGGAATACTCCATCATCTACGGCGGCATCGCCATCATCTTCCTCGTCAGCGGCCTCCAGCTCTCCCACGCGAAGCTCAGACAGAATGTTACCAACTGGCGGCTGCACATCATCGTTCAAGGCATCAGTTTCATCATCATTCCCGTAATCCTGCTAAGTATGGAGCCCCTATCATTCCATTTGACTCGTGCCCGGCTTACACTGTGACAAAAGTCATAATCCACATCATAATCGCCGCAGGCGGCCTCCGCAATGGCGTCCTCTCCACGCCCATCATCGTCGGCATGGTTGTCGCCTCCTGTCTCCCTACGACCATCGCGTCCAACGTGGTCATGACGCGCGCCTCGGGCGGCGACGACGCGGCGGCCATCATCGAGGTCGTCATCGGCAACGTCCTGGGCTCCTTCATCTCCCCGGGCCTCATCTACGGCTTCATCCCCAAGACGGACGAGTTCAGGGACTGGCAGCCCGCGAACCCGAGCACGCTCGGCGCCATGTACGCCAACGTCCTCCAGCAGCTGGGGCTGAGCGTGCTGCTCCCCCTCGCCGTCGGCCAGGCGCTGCGCTGGTTCTTCGAGAAGCAGGTCGACTGGGCGCTGCGGACCTTCTACCTCGCCAAGGTGTCGACCTTCTGCCTGATCCTGCTCGTCTGGACCACCTTCTCCGCCGCCTTCAAGACGGGCGCGCTCTACCAGACCCCGCACGCCTCCATCATCTTCAACGTCTTCATGAACGTCGCGCTCTACATGCTCTTCACCCTCATCTGCTTCTACGCCGCCCGCCCGCCGCTGCCCCTGTGCGACGCCGTCAACCCGCGCGTCGCCGACTCCGCGCTGATGATGCGCCGCTCGCCCTCGCTCCTCCGACGCGCCGTGACCGTCTGCCGGCTGCCCCGGGAGCAGACCATCGCCGTTTGCTTCTGCGGCGCCGCCAAGACGACGTCGCTCGGCATCCCGCTCGCCACCGCCATGTGGACCCAGTCCGACGACCTCACCCGCGCCCTGATTCAGATCCCCGTGCTGCTGTACACCATCGAGCAGGTCTTCATGGCACAGATCCTCGTGTACGTGTTCAAGTGGTACCTCAGGAGGGGCGCCAAGGCGGACTCGGAGACGTTGACTACGGAGGACGAAGAGGCGGGTAGTAATTCTGGGGCGGGGGAAGTCAGGGAAGATGGAATCGGCGACGGAGACGGGTCTCATGGGGCTTTGGATCATGACTGTGAAAAGAAGCCTGGCGGAGTAGAGGGCGGGAATAATGCGGTGCCTGTCAAGACGATATCGTAGAACTTGCTCGATTATACATGCGCACGGGTTTTGGGATAAAGTTGCAACCGAGACACTCGGTTGGATAATGGCAACACAGTCAGACCAAAGATTCAAGCAGCTCCAAGCCATAGATCAGGACTTTACACAACTGCAGTAATTCTATAAGCGCATAATGTTAAACGTGCCATTCTCTTTCTATGCTATTCACGCCGCCCACCGTGGTTTTATGCATAAAGAAAACCAGGGGTGAATCACTCGTTGTAACAGATTGAACCAGAAGGACACAATCTATGGGCCGGCAATTCTCTTGATGTGGCGTAGCGGAACCTTTGTAGCGCAGCATTATCCCATAGCCGCATGTGCTCCATCATTCCAGACAAGCTGTACAGAGATGACATGTAAGGTAACACTGGAATCGACTGACCAAGGTCATGTTTAACCGGCGTCTGCCTACCAGCCTAAATAACAAGATGCTTGAACATTCTGATATTGTGAGAAAGCTCGGCGAGCAATTCACATCGGTGAAGTCACAGGAAGCAAGCTTTGCTCACATAACTCATGTTCCATTTGAGTATCTCCAATACAGACGCTACATCATGAGACAGAACAAGCTTCTTCATGCATCAATCGTGAGCGGCACGAAGGCCCTCTTTACATTTCAAAAAGATTGCTATGCAACTCCAATCTACGTGATTGTCTTCGTCTCTGTTCTATTGCTCTCATCTACGGGCTCATGCATGTCTCAGGCCTTCTTGATGAGGCTCTCAAAGAGAGGCTGGAGGCTCTTGGCGCTCTTCTTGGGGTATCTCTTCTGGTCGTTCTCGTAGTCGACATAGGTGACGCCGAAACGGGTCTCGTAGCCCTCGGCCCACTCAAAGTTGTCCATGAGGGACCAGGCCATGTAGCCCTTGACGTTGACGCCGTCCTTCTCGTAGGCGTCGGCCATAGCCCTGACATAGTCGTCAAAGTACTTGACGCGGAAGTCGTCCTCGAGAATCTGCTCGAGAGGCATGTCGTTCTCGCCCTTCAGCGAGGTGCCGTTCTCGGTGACGTAGATGGGAGGGTATCCGTAGCGCTTGGAGAGCCAGGTGAGGAGGTTGCGGAAACCCTGCGGGTTCGGGCGCAGCCAGAAGGACTGGGTCTCCGGGCCAATGTTCTCGCCGCTCTTGGACTCGAACAGGGTCTCGAGGTTGCCAAGGAAGTCGTCGGCGGGAGGCTCGCCGGTCTTGTGCTTGATGAAATTGGCGGTGTAGTGGTTCATGCCATAGAAGTCGTTGGAGCCCTTGACCAGCTCGACCTCCTCAGGGGTAAACTCGGGCAGGCGGTCGCCGAGCTGCTTGCGCATGGAGTCGGGGTACTTACCGAAGTAGATGGGGTCGGCGAACCAGGAGATGGCGAACTCGATCTTGCGGTCGGAAGCCTCAACGTCGGCCGGGTCCTCGGGGTCCCAGGGGTAGGTGGCGTCGCCGTTGAGGGTGATGCCGATCTGGCCGCCTTGGGTAGGCTTAATCTCCTCGCGGTAGACCTTGACAGCACGGGCATGGGCGAGAATGCAGTTGTGGCCAACGATCCAGGGCTCGCGCGAGGAGTCTCCGACGGGGGACTTGTTGCGGTCCGAGGTGTGGCCGGGGGCGAAGAAGCCGCTGCTGTAGCCGAGGATGGAGGAACACCAGGGCTCGTTGAAAGTGATCCAGTTCTTGCACTTGGGGATGGCCTTGAACATGACACGAGCGTAGTGCTCATAGTCAAGGGGGAACTCTTCCTTGTTCAGAAGACCGCCATAGCGCTTGTCGAGTCCATCGGGGAGATCCCAGTGGAACAGGGTGATGAAGGGCGTGATGCCAGCATCGAGAAGGTCGTCGACAAACTTGACGTAGTGGTCGATACCGGCCTGGTTGATGGGGTCGTTGCGGCCACCAAGGGGAATGATTCTGGACCAGCCGATGGAGAAGCGGTAGGTGTTGGCACCAACAGACTTGAGCAGAGCAATGTCTTCGGCGGTGCGGTTGTAGGAATCGCAGGCAGTGACTCCTGAGCTACCGTCGGCAATCTTGCCGGGGATTTTGCAGAAGGTGTCCCAGATGGAGGGACCACGGCCGTCCTTCTCGACAGCACCCTCAACCTGGTATCTGTGATGGCGGGCAAAACGAGTTAGTAGGGGTTCGGCATGACATGTTGTTGGACTCGCTTATTAGACGACAAGGAGGGACGGAGGGGAAAGGTGTGAGTGGGGGGTGACGGAGCGAAATAAGTGTGCGGAATTGCAGGCGGGTAAGACGGAGGGAGGAGGGCGGAGGGTCGTGGTGCGTGGTTGGTGGGAGGATGCTTGCTAGTTGTCCGAATCGGGCCACGGGCCGGAGGCAGACGCAAAACTGCATTGTGACAGCAACTGAGGCACGATAATGGGCCGACAAGAAAAGCGCAATGCAACATATTGAGGTGAGATACGTACGAAGCGGTGGCAAAACCCCAAAGGAAGTCGCTCGGCAAAGACATGTTGGGCTATGAGTCTGAGGCCAAAGTTGTTGGTTAAAGTCTCTAAAGCGTGTTGCAACCAGCGTTGACTCTCACGAGAGCCCGAGTTCGCAACGTCTGTGGTTTGTCCGGACAGCAGCTATCAGCCACTCTGCAACGGTGGGCAAGTTGGAACGACTAGACAGAGGGTCGAAGAGGATATGTTGACAAGGAGAGAAGAGAGAGCAAGGAGGGGGGACAAATGCAGACAGAGGACCAGCAGCTGCCACGATACTTATACGCATCAGAAGGACGGAAGGAGAGGTTGCGGTGGAATGAATTGGGAATCATCATTCGTCTGATGGGGATACCTGGCAGGTTAAGGTAAGGCGAGGTCATGTCGACACGGAGCTACAAGGATGGCAAAGATGGGACAAACACCCGCAGGAAAGGGTAGCAGAAACAGCAGACATGGGACAAGCCTACAAGGGCGTCTCGTGGAGCGCCCTCCATGCAGTCAGTAGTCAATCTGGGACCTGGGAAGCTCCAGAAATTCTACCGCGTCGGACCGTCGTCACCGAGAAACGAAGACTGGACCATGTCCGGAAGTGGTGCTGCTGCTGCTGGTGGTGGGATGAGAAAGAGACGTACACAACAACTAGGTACATGCTGAAGAAGACCTACTTCTTTCTACCTTAGTCTTCTGCTCTTCTCCAGCGCTAATGCAAACGAGGCAGACAATTGACGCCAGAGGTCTTGGTGTTACAGGCACCTGCTTCTATTTGCCAACAGGCGACTGACATTGGGAAGGGTACCTTATTCCTCCGCAACAAAAAGAACCTTAACATGCCCGCCTTATGTTCCGTCCATTGTTTCCAGGTTGCGTCGGATGACCATGTGCGACCGGGTTGGCGGTGTCTCTCTGCGCAAACTCCAGGTATTTATCCGTACCCGTACCTGGGTGCCTATCGGGCTCACCACGACACAGCGGAGTTTGCTGGCGGTAGCAACAGTTGACAAGGGCCTGCAGTACGAATATCCAGGCCAGGGGCAGTCCACTAGGCAAGGTAGGTAATTACCCCGCCGTGGGGTCCCTTTTCCCTCAGGTCAGTTGAGGGGAAGTCCCTTCCCCCCCCGCTGAGAGAGCCTGCTGAGGACATCGACAATCCGGCCCGTCGAGCCGACGACCACCTCTCTCCTCGCCCAGCTTCGACTCGCAGCCGATTCGAAACACGACAAGCCTCGATCCCTCACCTGATTATCCCGCTTGCCGCCTCATTGGCGGCATGCGCGTGCGGGAACCTCGCCAAATCCTCGGGGCCACGAAGCCATCAGCAGCCGCTTATTACTACTGTGTGCCGTTTGATTGCCTCTTGATTGCCTCGCCCAAACCCCGGCCCAAGGCATATCTTGTTCAACCACCTGCTAACTAGGGCAGAACCTGGGCAGACGGGGAACTCACCCGCCCATGATACCAGAGTCCAGGTAACCGCCGCCATCTTTTCACTTCCCACACCAAAGCGCATGCCGAGCCCCCCTTGGCTGGCCCATGTTGGTCGCATTCGGTGAGCGGGCAAGGGCGCAACGACGGGTGAGCCTCCCTTCCATCCACTGCCGGCTCGTTCGTCCAATGTCGCCTGTGCTTCTCCAACAACGGCTTTCGTCCCATCATCTCCGTCTTGTCCATGGCGGAGGCTAGTCGACCACATCCCCAGCTTCATAACAGACCTAGAATATAGATACGACCCGGAGGACACCTGGCATCAACATCTGCGCGTTTCTTCCTACCCATAACCCAATCGTCTGTTCGATCAACACATACTCCATGCGGACTGCAACCCGAAACTCACGGCAGACGTCCCCTGCCTGTTCAATTCCGCCCCTCCAAAACCATAATCTCCAGTTTAAATCGTCTTAGTCCACGCAGCTATCAGTACGCGAAAATCACATGGCCGTACAACCAATTCCTCTTCTTCGGTCGAGTAGCCCGCCCCGGCCGACTGGCGGGTCCCGCTCGTCGATCCAACGAGCCTTCGGCCCTACACTCAGGTACATGTGTGTTGCTGACTTGCACCTTATCTTGTTGGGCGGGGGGAAACCTCGGGACCATTAAACATCTTGCTATTGTGCCTTAATGTGCTAAATCCATGGTACGCCGTCGCCTCCACGGCTGCTTTTCCCTCATGACTCCATAATCAAAGATTCCCAACCTCGTGCCTCCCTTCGATTCAGCTTTTCCCTCTTCTCATCGTACTTTTAGTCATTCGTTTTGTTCAGTCCGTCCCCGACAGGTCCGAACCTATCGCCGCTGCACCACTAAGCCTATTATCGGCATCTAGGTAAGCAGAAACCCCCATAATACCAACCTCAGTCCTCACCGAGGTGTACGGAACGCGGGACGAAGGTGAGCCGGCCCAGTCCACAACACCCCTGGTGCTGATACCACCTACCCTGCCGCTGCGATGCGATGCATGACATGGCATGGACTTAATGCAGGCCCTCCAAAGCCGCATCCGCGTCGTCTCGCTCGCCTAGTTTGCGCTTGCCGTTGCCAGTATTGCTCGTCATCTCAACGTCCTCCGTCTTCCCGTCGTCCGCATCGGTCCATTCCACAATCTCCCACTCGACCCTGACCTTCCCGTCCCTACTCTGATCCACCATCTGGCTGTGACGCAGATTGCCCAAACGGGTGCCGTCGATCATGCTCTCAAACCAGGGGACGCCGCGGGTTTCCCTCCCAATTACCGTGGTCGTTGTCGGAACGACGGACTGTCTCTCCGTCTCCTCGAGTTCGGGGATCAAACCCAGGTCTTCCAAATCTCGCAAGTCTTCGCCGCAGAGGCTGGCCAATGTAAGATGGATATAGTCAGCTTCAGTATGAGGAAGCTCGGTCCAGTAGGACAGTGGCGTTCCGCAGAAGCCGCAGAAGTATCGCTTTGAGGGGTTGCTAGACGGCGTCTCGAATACACGGCGAATCGCAGAGTGCGCCTCGTCGGGGAACAAGGCATGCGTTGAGCTGTGATACCAGGAAATCGGCACTTTGATCATTGCGGCCAGCGGGGTGGCCAAGGGAACTCCTGCGCAAGCTGTGGTTAGCTTCGAAGCTTGGGATTGGTGGGCATCGCATCTCAAGCGAGAAAAGCAAGCCTAGGAAAAGAATCCAGAGAGACGGCAGACGAAAAAAAAAAAAAAAGAAGGAGATGATAGACTCACTGTGTCTGGCATCTGTGTGGAAGAGGACCTGCACCCTCTCACTCGTCTGTTGAGGAACAGGCTCGATGACGTACCGGTTGCGCCCGCACTGGCAACCGCCGCGCAAGGGTCGTTGCAAGCTCATTGCTGTTACTGTTGTCATTACAGATCTGTCGAGGGTAGAATCGATAGAGAATCGATAGCGGGTAAGCTGAAATTGGTTGGTGTATGGGTTTTGAGGCTGCCAGAGAGCCGGGAGGCGGCTCAATTTCACTACTGCGTAGTAGGCGGATGGCTTGTTGGTGTGTTTGTTGATCTTTCCCACATGAGAAGGGAAGGTCAGATCAGGAGAAGCTTCCAGGTGAACCCAGCAATCGCTTTCCGTCCCACCTCGCGGGCACCCCCGGCCCCTCCAGGCGCGCCTCCCGTGCGTGCTCCCACGCCCTTGAAGGTGAAGCTGCGGATCTCCCGCCGTCCATTCAGGCGTCTGAGTGGCCTGTGTTCCTCGCTCAACGCCTCTCACCGCGCTGGAAGCCCCGCCTGATGGCCGCTGCGTGGGGCACTTTCGTCATGCTTTCCTACCTACGCCCCAGGCAACTGAGCTTGGGTTGTTGTTTGTTTGTCATGCACCGTGAAAGCTTCATGCCTTTCTAGGTATGTACATAGTAAAACGGCATCGGTTGCTTAAAGTGGGAACAGGGGTTCAGATTTGCTTCCAATCGCTAGTTAACGTTGGCAGGAAAAAGAGCGCCCTGCGAACCCATGTCTAAGTCGTCGAGGAGTTGCATTTCCTCCTCGTCAAGCTCAAAGGAAAAGATATTGGCGTTCTCCTCGATCCTTGCCGGGTCGCTGCTCTTCACCAGCGGCACGAAGCCATTTTGAACAGACCAACGTACAAGCACCTGTGCCTCAGTCACAGCTCTCCCTCCTATACCATCACCGTCAGTACCGGCAGCTCCGGCCCCTGCCCTTTCGGTCTCGGAGTCGGACGTGACTCCGGCCAAGACCCGCCGCCGCACCCGGGCAACGACCCGTGCCAGCACCGGATCCGACATTCTCTGCCCTCTGGCCAACGGGCTATACGCCTGAACAAGGATCCCGTTCTTCTGGCAATACGTGACTAGTTCCCTTTGTTGGCACCTAGGATGGATCTATGCGATGCCTCATCAGCGACTCCGCAGCTAGATCGTGAGTCAAGTACTCACCTCAATCTGGTTCACAACAGGCGGCCAGACCTTGGCGTAGCCCTTCATCTCCTCCAGATGCTCAGCTCGAAAATTGCTGACGCCGATTGCCCTCGTCTTTCCTTCCTCCAGCAGCCTCTCCAGCGCAACCCAGACCTCCTCGCGCCTCTGAATGGGCCGATGCACGAGGAACAGATCAACGTACCCGTCTTCGCCCGCGATGCGTCGAACACTGCGTAATACGCTGCGGTACGTCTTCTCGACAGAGCCTTCGTGGCGACCGACTTTGGTCGTTAAGAACAAGTCTTCGCGTTGTGCTTTCGCTTGTTCGAGGTATTGCTGCAACGATCTCCCAACATCTGCTTCGTTGCCATAGAGCTGCGCAGAGTCGATTTGTCGATATCCACAATTTAACGCTGCCAGGCAAGCATCTGCACAGTCCTGGGCTCTAAGCTGGTATACACCAAAGCCTAATCTAGGCAGGTGAATGTTGGTTCCCCGCAAGCGTACCGTTTGATCCATAGTTCCGATGGCCGTACTTGTTTTGATGATGTGAGTTGCGGTTTGCAGTTGCCTGCCTATTTCATTCATGGCCATTGATACCCCAGCACAGCAATCGGCTAGGTTAGGCAGCTGCAACCCACTCGCACGACCTGGTTGAAGACCTCGCCACCACCAGAGTGAAGGTAAAATAAATCACTATGGTATAGAATTTTCGCGGCAGCTACCTCTGTCCGCACCATGTTATCAAGAGGTCGTTTCCAAATATTAAACCTCTTCAGGTCCCTTAAGGGCCGGTCAGCCTAATAGGTAATTGTAGTGTTACATTCCCTTTCATTCCCAAGAACGCCTAGCAACAGCCCCAAGTCCCGAAAGCCTTCGACTTGCAGCAGACGCGCTCAACCAGTCTTCTTCTTCTTCTTGGGCCTCTCTTCTTGTTCCTCCTTCTCCTCCTCCTCCTCGGCGTCGTCAGCGTCATCGTCGTCAACGTCGCTCTCTGCGCTTCCAGAGCCCGAGCTCTCGTGTTCACTGTCGAACTCCTCGGCAACGTCACTCTCACTCTCAGCGCGGAAGTCCTCATCAACGCTCTCTTCGTCTTCGTCAGCCGAGCCGCGATCCGCTTTCGGTCCGACGACCTCCTCTTCAGAGTCGTCCATTGCCTGATCGCGGAGAGCAGTGGCCAAAAGCTTGGCGTCCTCGTCGATCTCGTTCTTGACACGCAGGCCCTTTAGTCTGAAAAATTCCTCGAGCCCCTTAAGATCCTCGCGATTGATGTTGCTAAACTGAGATGAGCCAGCACCATTCTTCATCTGAACGGTGATATCGAACGTGGAGAGCGCCGAAACGGCGCCGCCGACTCGAGAGAATGTGACGGAAGCAGTCTGCTCGTACGCAATGTACGTCGCAGGCTTCGGCACGAACATAAACGCCTTCTCCAAGCAGTACAGGAAACCTTCGCTGGCCTTGATGGAGCACTTGATACCGAATTGTTGTCGGTGCCTGCATGTATGTTAGCTCTCGGCATTTCAAGCGAGCGGGGGCTGTCTGCGACATACGTCTGGAAGTCCTTCGCAGGTGTGGTGACCTTCTTGTTGGCCAATCCTCTGAAGATGTAGGTGATGACTTGGTGAAGAGGCTGCTCGTAGTGAGGCTGCAAACGGTCCTTGTAGCGCTCGTCTATTTGCTCCTCGGTGAGATTGAGATCAATAGTGACCTCCTCATCCTTCTTGAACTGCATGACGATGAAGGGGTATCTCGTCTGACCCTGACGAAGAGGCGGGTCCAAGCCAATGACCAGGAGAACGTGTGTCTCGTCGGGCTTGGGCAGAACCATGAACTTCTTAATGGCATCGTATTGAATCTTGTAGTCGTAGGTTTTACCACGCAGGCGGAAAGAAGCATCGTACATATCGATGTCGAAACGTCCTCTGCAGGTTCATGTTAGCGACGGATTGGCTTGGTAGATAACGGAAGTGAGCGGACCTGGGGGTAAGGTGCAGAATGTCCAAGAAGGTGGCGATAGTATCACCAGCAGTCTCGCCAATCTCGGCCTTCTCCATAAGGGTGTCATAGAACAGAGCGACAGCGTTCTTCTCTTCCTCGCCGGCATCACTAGCGCCGTCTTCGCCGTCGGCCTCCTTCTTGACAGTTCCAGGGATATAGAATCTCATCTCCACGAGCTGATCCTTGCCGGCACCAGCCTTCTTGCCCTTGCCGCGTGCACCGCCCAGGGCACCGTTGGTGCCGGTGTCATTCTTGTCCGTTGGGGCAGAGAATTCGACAGCGACTTCGTTGCGACCAGCCAAGTTGGTATTTGAGATCTCTGAATAAGGAATTTCGAAGGCGGGACGGTTCTGGACGTGGAATGCCAGCTCGGCCTTCCCGAAATCGGCCTTGCCCCAGTTCCAACCTCTGAGGGAGTGCTCCTTATTCTCAAGATTGGTACTGTACCAGCTCTTGAAGATCTTGCTCAAGCGCTCGTAGTCCTGGGTAACAGAAGTCAATATGGTGCCGCTCGTGGGGTCTGCCTGGCGGGTGTTTTACCTCTTGTTGGAAGCCATCCAGTTGAATGATGCGCGAATCGCGGTTGAGGATCTTGATCTCGTAGCCCTTGGCAGCTCGGCTCCAATGCGCTGAGGCGATGTTGCTGTGGTCGAGGGTGAAGGTGTCGCCGCCACCAGCAGGCTTCCATCCGAGACCGCTCTCGGCGAATCTGCACTTGCCGCTCTCCTTGGAGAGGTCCAGGTAGATGCTGTCGAAACTCTCGCTAGAAGGAGCCATGCTGTTAGCTACTGCGACTGAGGAAAGCAGATTGAAGCAAGATGGGATGCGCGCGGTGGAATTGGAGTTCTGTTTGCGCAAATTTGCGCGGGGAGAATGCGCTCGCTTGGGAGGACCCGGGTAGCCGCAGCATTGATGGTTGAGACGGGGCGAGGAGCTGGCCTTGAACACTCACATGGCTGCCATGGTTGGGAAACCTCTCGGGCTAGAGGTCGCTGATTGTCGTCAAAGTAGGGTGGCAGAAACTGAGGCTGGAGCTTAAAGGCACGATGCTGAGTAGATAGGCGACGTCCGGCGCGATCTGCAGAATGCCTGGGGTGGACGATGGGAGGAACGGTGGTGATGACGGGGTTTTAATCCGTAGGCAGGTTGTCTTGTCGGTGATAAAATTTCGGGGCGATTGGGCCTTCGCGTGGTGCACTTCTCCTGTCGCGCGAGGCTCTGGTGGCACGGCGACGCGACCTCTCTAAAGTGAGTGGGCCCCGTCCGCTCCTGCCACCCCCTGGTTGCCGACTTACTTAATACAGTGCAAGCAGGTACCTAGGTACCTTAGGTATTCGTAAGATACGGATACCTTACTTGAGGTAGGCGTTAGTCAGCTGCTGGTGTGGTCCTCAGTCGGGAATAGCGCGGTGACGCAGTTACCCCAACTTTTCCCAACCTTAGTAAGCTGGCTGGTTGGCTAGCAAAGCTGGAGACGCAGCTGGAGCTGGAGCTGGAGCTGGAGCTGGCGGGACGGCAGCACGCACCGAGCATTTGCCAAGTGTGGGGTAATGGGAAGGGAGGGATAGCACTAACCGGCCCTGAGCTTTCAGAACCTCGGGTTTGTCGTCTCAGACAGCCAGGAGCTTGGGGGTATTGCTCCAAGTATGGACGCGAGACAGACTAATGTAGGTAGGCCAGCTGGTCCTCTCGCCCTCGTCGGGGAACTGGAGGTGTTTGAGCTCCTCCTCCTCTTCTCCTTTCCACCTTCTCCTCACTTGCTTAGACCTTAGAGCCGACGCTTTCCAGACGAACACTTAGGACTCCAAATTTTGGATCAGCGTGTGCTTCTGTTTTGTATCGCCATTGAATCCCGCTCATAACTCTACATTTGAGACCATTTCCACAGTCGATCGCACTCATCTCGTCGACGTCATAATGTCCAGCCCGCCGTCCCGTCTCAAGAACATCTTGGGTCACCTTGGTCTCTCCTCACCTGCTCCAAAGCCCGAAGAGCCCAAGGCAGCCTTTCACATCCATCAACTTTCCCCAACCTATTTTCTGGAGCGTGCTGCCGCCATTGAACCCGACGCGGAGGCGATTGTCCATATCACTGCCAACAATAAGCTTTTGCGCCGCACCTACCGCGACTTTGCTGAGCGAGCAACCGGGCTTGCATACTATCTGAAGAAGCATGGCTTCCACCGCGTTGGTATCCTGGCGCCGAACACGCCGGCTTTTCTAGAGAGCATCTTCGGCATTGCCCTGGCTGGTGGTTAGTTCGTTCCGTGACCCGAAATGCAGTAGAGTAAACGAGACTTACTTGCGAGAAATAGGGGTCAACGTCGCTGTGAACTACAGATTGAAGTCAGACGATATCACATACATCTTCGATTATGCCGAGGTTGACTCAATCATCGTGGATCAAGAATTCCTCCATCTTCTTGACGAGTTCAAACAAAGTCACCCGTCCGTCCCATTCATTATCGACACCGACACCGATGCCATCGAGGGGGAATTGAGTGGCCCCTTTGACGAGGCCATCTTGGAGGGCCTGCAATTTGACCGGAGACAGGGCAATAAGAGGTTCGACGGCCTTCAATCTCACTGCGGCAACGATGACGACATGCTCGCCATTCCATTCACTTCAGGAACAACTTCTCGTCCAAAGGTGTGATTTCACGGATGTGCAAAACTGATACATCAGAACTGACAACTGTCTAAAAAAAAATAGGGTGTGGTTTACACTCATCGAGGGGCTTGTAAGTCACAAAACTCTCATCACGTGTTCTGAACCAACTCTGAATGGCTGTTAACTGTACGCAGACCTCGCAGCCTTGGGTAATGTTATCGAATCGGGTTTGAATTCACCCGATGGGAGGCGTTGCAAGTATCTATGGACACTGCCACTCTTCCACGCCTGCGGATGGGTTCGTAAACCTACCTTTGCCTTTTTGGTTTGGCATACTAACCGACCTCTAAAGACCTTTCCCTGGGCGGTGACAATGGTCCGAGGAACACACTATACATTGAGAAAGATCGACTATCCTCTCATCTGGAAGCTCCTTAAAGAAGAAGAAATCAGTCACTTCAATGCTGCACCGTATGCGACCTCATGATTCCACAAGTTTCTGTGCATCCTAACGGCCTTCCAGTACGGTCAACACTCTTTTGTGCTCTGCTAAGGAGGCAGAGGAACTACCCAAACCTTGTCGTGTGACTGTTGCCGCGAGTCCGCCCAGCGGTTACTTGTTTGAGCAGATGGTTCGTCCCGTATAAGACTAAGCGTTGTGGACTATGTTGACCGAGGCAGACCAACCTGAACCTGATACCAGTCCACGTCTACGGAATGACGGAGACGTACGGACCTATCACCAAAGGCTACCACATGCCATCATGGGATAGCCTTCCCCCCAACGAAAAGTATGCCAAGATGGCCCGCCAGGGTCATGGCTTTTTGACGAGTCTGCCGATTCGTGTAATCAAGCAAGACCAACCGGAGGGTGTTCTGATCGACGTGATGAAGGACGGAAAGGAAATCGGCGAGATCATCTTCAAAGGTAACATTTGTTGCAAGGAGTACTACAAGGACCCTGAGGCAACCAAGAAGCTCTTCGCCCGGGGTTTTTTGCACTCGGGAGATCTCGCAGTGATGCACGAGGATGGAGCCGCGCAGATTCTAGATCGTGCCAAGGACATCATCATCTCAGGTGAGCATGTTCGATTAAGAACTGTCTCCAAGTTATCATACTGAGTCGTACTTAGGCGGTGAAAACATCTCATCTGTAGCCCTCGAGGGCATGCTCGTTCAGCATCCCGATCTTCTGGAGGCTGCCGTCGTCGCGATTCCTGACAGCCATTGGTGAGTGGAATATCTGACACTGGCATCGCTGAATGGCACTGACAAATCCAGGGGTGAACGTCCAAAGGCCTACGTGACAGTCAAGGAAGGCAAGAGCCTCCAGCCGGAAGACCTCATATCGTGGGCAAAGCACCAAAGCAACATCAGCAAGTTCATGGTCCCACGCGAAGTCGAGGTCGTGGACGAGCTTCCGAAAACCAGTACAGGAAAGCTGAAGAAGAACATTCTGAGAGAATGGGCAAAACATGGGCGTAAGGAATGAAGTAGCAGAGGGGAACGGTGGTATACCATGGAAAACAGCTGGAGCTGTTGCTCGTTGACTGTTTAAGTGGCACTTTTGCGTGCCAGAGTAATCCGTCAAAGTTTTGGAGATTATGACTATATGGATAGAGAAGATTCGAAAAAACTTTCTTTGATTTAGCTTAATCGGGACTCGGTCAAACAAGACTTGTCAGCCAATGGAGTCAGTTCAAGACCTACCTTCAATGAAGCCGGGCCGTCCCGATTGGTGCTGGAGCAACCGTTTCCCTTCCTCCGTTGTTGGATGCCCTGTAACGCAGACGCTCTTAGATGGCAAGAAGCCCCTGAAAGACAACTGCGCAAAAAAGGCAAAGTGTATAATGGCCGGGTCGTCATGCACAGCTTGACCAACCACACTGCGGCAGGTACTGGAGCACCAGAGCCCAAACGCAGTCCCTAAGTAGTCAAGTAATACGCGGTGAGGCAAGCAAGTGAGAACCACGATGAAGGCATACAGGTCTTTCCCCAAGGAACGACAGGGAATGGCATGCACGGAGGTGGTCTGAACTGCAAGTACGGAAAGTACAGCCCCATACCGATGAGATGAGCGGCCCTCCGGGACGCTCTTCTTCCACCACAATATTGGGTAGTCCTAAGGGGGGGAGGCACTGTGCCTTCCACGCAGAAATGGGCTGACAAAGTGACGCATACTTTGGTAAGGCCACGAGCTGCGTAGTCTGCCCACGTAGAGCCAAAGCTTCGAAGCGAAGCCATGCCAAACTCAAGTCGCGAGGCCATCAGAGTACAACAACCGACGCGCTATACACTTCTGGCGACGGCCAGTATGGTGTCACCTCGTGCATGGGGGCGTGACCCGACTTCGCAAGCCAGCATTCAGGCGAGAATGTCCACCAATGCCCGTGCCTGGATAGGTGAGACAGCCGAAGGTCCGGAGAGCCAACGGATGGCGCCACGCCATAAGGAGCACCCCTGAGAAGAAGACGAAGAAGAGACGAAGAACCTGATGGAACCGAGCCACTCAGCTGAAGAGGTCGCCCCGTACGGACAAGAGCTAATCCTCAAGACGGACACCCGGCCGTTGCCAAGCTTGTCAGCTCTCTCGTAGCTGGACGCACGTACAACGACCCGATCTAGGGCAAGGTCTTCTGATTGTCACGGGAAAGACCCTGAAGACCCTCGGTCAGTGTTTGGCCGATAGGAGACAACTTCATGAGACAACGGTTCACTCGAACGCTGTCACGGCCAAGATGGCCGTGGGGTCACCAACTCTAGAACATGGTTTCGACTTCCGCCGGGTACCAACTCAGATACGATGCAGTCTATGAAGGCACGACAGAGGCTTCTTTCTCATCGGGATCGAGATATCATACTCTTGGCTGCATTCTCACCGACAAATGTAGATCAAGGTTTCCCCTATCGCTGCTCAAAATACCCTCCGTCTTCCACGTGCCCCTCTGGTCAGTCCCATAAAGTGCGAGGACATGACAACCAGCACGAAAGTCCGATGGTCGCTTGCAAAAGCCCCATCACCAGCATAGAACTTTGGGGTCCTTCATATCTCGAGGACGCACAGAGGCGTCATCTTGTGGATTGATCGACGTGGGCGCCGGGGAAAAGGCTGTGGACGGCTTGCTGTCAGTCCACTCCCGTCTACCTTGGCACAAGCTGTCTGCCTAAGCGCCCCTGATACGAGCATCCGAGATCCAGGGCCACTCGAGTCAGACATATGCCGGTCGTTTCTCGACAAGACGACCGATACCACCACTCAGAGAGGGCCAACGTTAAAATTTCTGTCCTTGATGAGGAGCGGCAGCTTCCCGGACGTGGTGAAACCGGAGTCAAGGTGAATGAGGGTGCTTTTGGCCGGTCAAGACGCGGACCACGCAGACACGACAGAAGACAGCTGCATTATGCAGGCCACAGTGGATAAAGGCTGCTTCTCCAACCGGGCAAGACTGGGCGTGCGCGCGGGTTACAGCTCAGGATTGGGCGACAGAATCCATGTAAACGCACCTTGGTCCTTGGGGGGCCTTTCCGCGCCCCATATGCGTATTTTCGTCCAGCAACCGCGGATCCTTTCGAGCGGTCTGCGTCTGCGTCTGCGTCTTCCGAAGCCGAGCTCACATGGAAATTACCCTATCGACGGCTAGGTTATTTCGCGCGTCTGACCCTCATAAAGCCCACCTCGACCCCTCCTTGGGGGCAGAAGACGACCCTGCTGAGCTTTGTCAACGTCAATAATGCCTTGAATGTGAAAGCTGACAGAGTTAGGCGAGGAAGAGAGTGAGACAGACAGGACAGAACAGGACAGCGAGTTGCTAGACTTGCCCCACAGGTGAGTTGAATTGAAAGAAAGCAGCCGACTATGAGATAAGACAAGGAAAGACAACAGAGGGGGAAAAGACGAGCAGGATGGTCGAGGGAAACTGGCCACTCGACTGACGGGAACGAGCTCGGTACGGGTAGTGGCTCGATGAAGAGGGACGGGCAGGGTGGAAAGAATACTCATCACCCCGGGCAAGACACAACCGGCTTGTCGTACAAATAGGAGACGAGGAAGAGACTGACTAGGCGTGTAGATCGAGATCTTACAGGAACGACAACGACGACGACGATAGGTCATTTATAAATTAGTCAATAACCCAACGGCAGCCCTAGCCAGACGAGGCAACGACAGAGAGGGAGAGAGAGATACAGAGAGAGAGACCGAGAGGCAACAACGTCCGGACCTCGTTCGGTGTGCCTTGCGTCCCCTGCGCCGCAGCAAAAGATTTTTTTGGCGACAAGCCCTGGAGTGGAGTGACTCTGGCATAAAGGCAGGCCACCCCGATCCCCCCCGATTGCCGGCCTCCTGGGGCGCCGGGAATCATTCGCATCCCGCCGCCGCACGACGCCGAAAGTCTGTCTTGAGCGCACTACGACGAAGTCGGTTCACTTGAGCAGGTATCGTAGTCGGCTGACTCTGTATTTCCTCTAGCACCGGGAAGCAGTGGTCCGCCTAGAGACCAAAGTCACTCCACGGCCACGGTATGTTGGCGAACCCCGTGCCATTACGGACAGTCATCTCCCCAAATCGCCCCCTTCTCTGCGATCCCTGGCACGGCCGTCCCGCGGTATCTCTTCCGGGATTGTATAGCTGGCCAGACGCTCGTCTGGTGGCTTCTAGCGCCGGCCTGTGTCCACTGGGATCGCCTGGCCTCGCGCCTCGTTCCGAGTCTCCCAATCGTGGCTGGGTTTGCTTGACCTCGCCCGATCTTGGCTCCTCGTGAATCGGAGGCCCCTCTCTCGGCTCCGGCTTCGAGGGGAACAACGTCGAAGCTTCGAAAAAGCAAGGAAAACCTCTATAAATCTCCAAAGGCTTTGCGGCTGCTTTGGGGGCCGAGAGAGCGGGACTCGAAAGGGGGTTCTCCAAACAACCAGAACGCCTTTGCCATACACCCCTCCCCTGGGGACAACGACGACATGGCTAACACGCCAACCGACAACAATCCCTTTTACGAGTATCTCGTGGACGACCCGGAGGTAAGTGAACAAAACAGCCCGGCTTATATCGCCATTTTTCGTCCGGTCATTTCTCCTCGGACAGCAGCCGCAAGGGGGTCCGCTCCTCCTCTGATCAGGTCCTGCTTCAACTCGCCCGCTCATATCATGCGTCTCTTCATATTCTGAACCCGCCAGATCTAGTGGTGGAGGGTTACGCGACGTGGTCGACCAAGTGGCCGGAAGGAATGCATGATACCACACACCGACGTTGAGCCAAGCTCCATCCCTTAGAGGGAAGGGGGGATGGATGACAAGTCAAACCATGGTCGGAGACGGCGCAAATCTCGCTACGTGTGGTTCTTGGGCTACTGAAGTGTCATGTTGGTGGTGGTGTGTGAGCGGACGGGAGGAGGCGATGGATCCAGAGCTGAAAGTTCGGTTGTGAGTGTCCACCCCGGCCGGCATGGGGTGATGGCATGGTGACGAAGTCAAAAAGCCCATTCAACGACCGATAAGTCGGAGCATGATGCGAGAAAGCCAGAGATGACCACGGCGCGAGAGATTTGCTTCTGGAAAGGAGGAAAGATGAGAGAGGAAAAAAAGAGGACAAAGTCTGACCATATTTCTATCAGCAGATGATGGCTTCGACGCCGTTGTCCCCGCACTTTTCACCCAACGTGTTCGGAGGGGCCTTTGACGTCCGCGACCGCCCGCACCACGCCACCCGATCCGGGAATCAGGCCATGTCGAGTCCAGGCCACGACCGGCCCGATTCCATCAATGAATCAGCCGCCACGATCGCAGTTTCAGTCCCAGGTGTTCCTGGACTAGTTGTGAATGCGCAACAAATTTCGAGTCTTCAGCAACGGCTGCAACAACAACAGCAGCTCCATCGTCCAGCCTTGGGGGGGTTGGGGGAGTTGGAGCTGACAGCAGCTGGAACTGGAACTGGAACTGGAGCTGGAGCTGGAGCTGGAGCTGGGTTAGCCGCTGCCGAGAACCAGGGTCACCACCAACATCACCAATTCGCCGCGCTGCATTCACAGTTCGCTGATCACCAGGGTCCGCTCGCCCTGCTCCATGCACAGCAGCAAGGGCATCGACAGGCACCTGCCACATGGTTCCCGCCCGGGTATGGGGCTCCGTCGTACCGTGACAGCAGCAGCAGCAGCCAGTACTACCAACAGCAGGCCGCTGCAACGGTCTCTTCCTCCTCCCCATCCTCCTCCACAGCCGTCTCCGTTGTAGCCAATCCGCCCATCAACATCACTGCAGCGGGCGGCCTGAGCAACAGCAATACCGGCGCGGGCGGAGGGCAGCTGTTCGACTTTGGCTTTGCTGCACCACATCCAGCTGAGCAGTCATTCCTTGGCGGAGACTATGCCGACATCACGCCACTTTCCACAGCGGCAGCAGCGGCAGCAGCAGGAACAGCAGCAGCACTGACAGCCCATCCGCAACCGACTGCCACCTTCGACTTTCACTCCTCGCCATGGCGTCCGAGGCTTCAGGACAGCAGCTCCGTCACCCTGACTCCCAGCATCGCAGCTGTCGCCGCCGCCGAACTGAATCAGGACATTCACAAACACAGCAAGGGCAGCATGGAGGACGACAGCGACGTCAAGGAAACCTCGTGGGCCGACGGAGATGACGATGACGAGTATCGGAGGCGTGCAGGCGTAAGCAGCAGCACATCGCCTCGGCCCCGGAGACAGCAACGTAAAGGCAAGCGCCGCGCCGTAGCCGATGCCGGTGCTGCTGATGGCGCCGAGGACGAAGACGAACCCACCAGCCCTGCGGGTCGGACCAGCGTCAGCGGCCGATCCAACAAGTCGGTTTCGGTGGCGTCGACGACGGGTACCAGCAGCAAGACGGCATCGGCCCCGCGCCTGCGCAGCGCCTCCCGCACATCCAAAAACGCATCCCAGAAGCCGGCCGAGACCGCCGAGGAACGTCGCACGCGCGCATCGCACAATCTCGTCGAGAAGCAGTACCGCAACCGACTAAACGCCCAGTTCGAAGGGCTGCTGAACGCGTTGCCGGAGCAGGTGCGCGGGCCAGCCAGCACCGGAGACGGAGGAGGAGGCGGCGGCGGCGGGGACGAATCGGATCCACAGCCGGCCGATCAGGAGCGGCGGGTCAGCAAGGCCGAAGTGCTGGACATGGCGCGTCGGCACATCAAGAGCCTCGAGCGGGAGCGGGACGAGCTGCAACGTGAGCGGGGAGATTTGCTGCGCAACTTGGAGATGATGGAGCGGGAGATGGCCGCCAACGGAGCCGGCCGGCTGGACGAGTTTCTCGACGTCGAGGGGCCCCCGGGCGAGCAAGGAGGACCGTCTTGGAGGAACGCGTGAGGGTTGGGCAGGAACATCTCACCCCTCTCCCTCTCTCATCCTGCAAATATGCACAGCTACAGCTACCCCTCATTCGACGCGCTGTTGGTTTGGGTTGGTGTTGGCGTGTGTTCGCGTGTGTTCGCGTGGTCGTCAGGGTGCAGAAGAGGTGCAGAAGGAGGGAGCGCGTGAGCTCGAAAACTCGGAGGCAAGGGTGCCGGGGGGAAAGGTTTCGGAGCCCCTCCGACCGACCGATGACACGCCGCGCGGGACGCTAGGCCACAGCCATTGGCCGATCCAGTCCTGCTTCTTTTGCAGCGCACTTCTCCGCCCCCTCCTCTCCGTCTCAGATATCGGTAGGCGGAGTGGTGTTGTTCGCTGTGTTTCACGCACTTGTTGTTTTTTCTGCCCCCTCTCCCCTGCACGTTTCCCACGTTTTGCCCCAGTCTGTTTTGCTTGGTTACTTTTTGTTGTTACCCCCTCACGTTCTGCAACCCACCTCGAGTGTGTCAAGTCTGGTTTTCTTTCTTTTTTTTTTTTTTTTTTTTTTTCCGCGGTCGAATCATGGCCCAAAAATTGTTTCATATTGAGAGGAAGTAGATAACCTTGGTTGGTGGAAACGGCTGTACACTTGGGAAAAAAGTGGTGGTGAAAGAGGAGGTAGACCGAGGCATTGAAGCCGAGAGCGAGGGGCGTGTATGTGTGTGTGTGTGTGTGTGTTTGTGTGTGTGATTGTCAAGTTGGTGGTAGTGGTGGGGGGAGACGCGATTTGTTGGGTTGATGCGGGATGGAATGGGTGCAACGAATGCAAGTTTCCCATGCATGTTCTGTACGCCGTACGGAGCCATAGACTAGGAAGGTATGGCAGGGAGGAAAGACGAGGTGGAGGAGGAGGGCGAACGAGGGTCTGGCCATCTGCCGTGACGATGCAGCTTTGGCAGCGGTAGTTTGGAACTGATTGAGCACTGCAACTACCAACACCACCACCACCACAAGATTAATTATGTAGCCCTTTGGCATGTATGTCACTGCCGAGCGTCACGTCTTGCAATCTCAGTGCCGTCGATAGCGTCCCGTAATGCGGAGAGCCCTTTTGAATCTCACGACGCTTGGCAATTGTTGTGCGGACAGTGCGAGCGGTGATGAGTGGGACGGGGCGCATTCACGAATGATTTGGAAAGGGGCAAAGGTGCTTCTAGAAGGCTTTGGACGACAAGTCTTGAATGATGCTGTTTTCTTTTTGGATCCGGCGCGTCACAATATGCGTCCGTACCGCGTTAAAATAGACAAGAATTGGTGCCACGCCTTTTCCCATGGCAAACATACGATTCCCCCCGTCCATCCATCCCGTCCTTCCGCCTTCCTGTAATCCCCTCACTACCTTTCCGCCCTTCGTCCTCGTCCCGCCCGTCTTCTCTGGCAGTTGTGCACTGCATGTGTCCCTCTTTACAAAGTTTTTCTTTTTGCCCCAAATGTCATAATCCATCAAGTCGTGTCCAGCGGTGCCGCCTTTTGCCACGGCCCCCCGCCTTTTTTTTAATACAAAATAACAATAAGCGGTAGTGATGTGTGTGTGTGTGTCGGGGATGGGTGGTGGTAATAATAATAATAACCCTGGACAGTTGTGTCTCTGTCCCTGCGCGCGTCCAAGAGACGCACGCCGCGCCAAATGCCATGATATATAGGCCATGAATAACCGAGGAAGAGAAAAAAGAGGTGGTGACAGACGGACTAAGAAAAAGAGCGAGAGTGGTTGCTGATTGTTGCCAGCGGGGCAGGTTGCTTTTTGGTGAGGTCGATGTTTCGATGATGGATCGACGCTTGGTCTATGCGAGAGAGAGAAAGAGAGAAAAATGAAGTTTCCTTGGTACACCCCTTCCGGTATATGCCAACAAAGTCTATGGTGAATCACGGCATTGGTCAAAACAAAAAGGCGCCGAAATATGTCGAGAAAGAGGAGGAAAAAAAAGCAGGTGATGTGCGCCGCCCGTTTGTGACCCAAAACCGTGTCGCTTCGCCGAGTATGATGTGTGTGTGTGTGTATGTGTGTAGGTGTATGTGTAGGAGAGGTGTCAAGAAAATGGGTATGGTGTTTGGGCTTTAGATCCGGCTGCCGGAGTAAACTGGCGGGAAAAGTGCGTACTGCCCGGGAGGTGGCGGGGTGCTCAAGCTGGTGGTGCGGGCACGTTGGCGCCGGTGCTGTTTGACGGCCTCCTTTGCCGACATGGCCTGGCTGCCCTCCGAGACTGCGCGCATGTCACCGGTAGAGTGAGACGTTGTGAGTACCTCCTCGGTCTCGGGCAACGGCGTCATGGTCGACTTGCGTGTCTTGGGCGACTCCAGACTGGGGAGGTCGTCGACGCTGACCGAACGAGAGTGGTCGATGCCTTCGGCCTTGGGGTTCCATCCCTCAAACGTTGTGCTCCCGGTGTATCTTGTCAGAGCAGTCCAGGTCGAGTTCGTCGAGGTGTGTCGGGCTTCCGTCAAGCTCGTCTGATCCGACGAGTTGCTGCCGGTGGTGGAAGTGCTGGCCCGGTCTCTAGCGAACAAGCCTGGGGTTTCGAGCGTCATCGCGGGCTCGCCGTCGAACGAGAAGTGACTGTGGTGTTGCCTGTATTCCGCCTCCGTCTCCGCCATCATCTGCTGGCGAAAGTCGCTGGGAATCAGGAGGGATGGCGACAGGTGGAAACCGTGAGACTCCTTGAAGCTCGAGGCATGCGAAGCAGTTCTGACGTGCAAGTGAGACTGGCCGCGGTAGTTCGTCTCCATCCTGGGGTGAGAGAAGTTGGACCGTACTGGTAAAGCCGGAATCGTCGGCGTGATAGCCTCGTGGCCGTTTGCCGTAGAAGTAGGGCTTGACGGGCTGAGTGCCGGGATGTCCAACTGGGCCGTTGATGCCGGCTTCAAACCAGCTGACAGCGGCGCCACAAACACGTCTTCATTGAGAGGGGTCTGAACAACTTCCTCCCGGACCACGTCCAAGGATGGCCGATCCCAGGCGTAGTCGCAATCGGCCTCGGCCTCATGCTCGTAACAGTAGTCGATATCGTCCTCCCAACTGGCTCGATGGAGAGCATCGAGATCCTCATCCTCCCCCATGACCTCCTTCAAAGCATCCTGTACGCCGAACATGTCGAAGCCGCCCAAAGTGTCCGATGCACCGCTTGGCGGTCGTTGGGAGTCGTCACATTGGGTTTGTGCGAGTTGACGCAGAACAGGCACGGACTGGCTTCCTCTCAGCGACGAGTTGGTGCTGAAAAGGCTGGCGCGGGATCTTCGGCCAGAAGCATGAGCCTCCTCCTCCTCCGGGACGTCAGGCAAAGCCATCTCGTATGAAAAGTTTGAACTAGCGGTCAGGGGCCACGCAGCATCATCGGGTGTGGTGATCGCGTGTGAGAATCGCGGATCCACATACGCTTCCCCATCAACAATGCCGTGAGGGAAATATCCATGAGCGGTTGCTGGGGGCTCGGCCAGGTCGATGGGAGCCTGAAGGCTGGATGATTGGAGGCTGCCACTGGTTGATGGTCGCTCTTGGGGATCAACATCTTCCATGGCATTCAGAATGTCATGTTTGACTCCGATACGGCTTGAATGCCTTGGCGGGGGGATAGGGGGTGCTGGCATGTCAGACAGGATGAACTCCTCATCGATGGGCGACCTGGGAGGACGCGGCGGCGCTGGACGAGGTGGGCTAGTGCGGAGTTGTTCCTGAGATCGGGTATGCTTGATCATCTTCCGGGGCGCTGAGGTTGGTCCTGCCTGCCGGGGAATGACTGGTGGGCGGTTTAGGAAGAGCTCTGCATGAGTCTCGCCCGCAAGAGCGTCGTCCTGGGGCATGTTCAATGTCTCGGATGAGAAGTTGGCAAAGTGCAAGTCTTCGACGTCGATTCCTTTCAAAGTACCGGTAGTCGGGCGTTGGCCAGCACGGATGGCCGAGAATTCGGAGACCATCTCGGCACGGCTGCCCCGTTGAAGGTCCGGGAGATGGTCACGGTTGGTGTGGGTGACATGTTGAAAATTGTAAGGGCCTGAAATCTGCAGCTTCTTGCCCAAAGCCGGGTCTTCTGCTATTTGATCTTGTCTTAGAGTCTGTCGACGACCGAAGATGGACGGGATGAGGTGATTCTTGTTTGCCGAGGGCGGACCATCCAGGACGAGCTCACCAGAATACAAAGAACTTCCAGAGGAGTTGCTGCTGCTTTCGCGCTTCATCTTGGCTCTGCGGTTGAAGATCGTCTTGCCAAAGAGCTGAACGCTCTCGGGTCTGTCTCGGGATGGCATGCTGCTTGAAGTGGACCGGCCAGAAGACTTTCTAGACAGAGTGATGGTTTCCAAGGTGTGTTCCCAAGAGGGACGGCGTTCCGAGGTAATTGAGCGCAGCGAGGACGACGAGCCGGAGGACGTGGTGGCGTTGCTCTTGTGCTTGTCCAAGGCTGAGGTCCTCTTCATCTGCTTGCTCAAGGCACGAATCCTCTCCGGCGATGGCGGTCCATCAAGAGCGGGTTCAAAGAAATCTGGCGGAATGTTGTGGGAGTTGTGTTGAGCAGAAAGAGGAGGGAGGGGAACTTGGTTGTCGATGGAGGTTGGCAACGGCGCATCTTTGTTACTGACGCTTCCTCTGTCTTTCCTCCGGGTAGGCTTGTAAGCCGAGTAATACGGCAGTGGAGCGGTAGCCCACATCTTGTTTTCGCCTCAATGCAGAGGGCGACGTCAAGCTAGGCGTGCCCCCTCTCAAGGGATCCCCTTCTTCTCCAGCGTGTTCTGAACAAGCCCAAGCAAGTCGAGGCCCGTTCCCTGATGATAGTTCCTGGTGCTTCCTGGTGTTTACTTCTTTTTTATATGGGCCGGGGATATAAATCTCGCGTGTTTGGTTCCCGTGCGAGCGAGGTTGCTGTGTGTTATAAGGTGTGTGTAAGAGGAGTCGGATGCGGGCGGGCGTGGTATTGGGAGTGAGTGCGAGAGCGAACGTGCGTGCGCTGAGAAGGAAAAGTTTGAGAGAGTGAAGCGCGCGCAACATC